CTTCAGAATATTTCTGATATAATCCAGTGTCTTTTAGATGATTGTAGAAATACTAGACCAGTTCAGAATCTAAGTTGGTTAAATAAAGTAATAATGAACGACAGCCCAAATAAGCAGCAACATTGACTAGGGCTAGAACTTTACAAAGTAAACCAGCAAGCCATTCTTATAGTAATACACAAGAGCATCTAAGGCAACAGTTAGAAAAGGACAAGCAATTTACCTTGATTTGTTAAGGTACACACTGACTGAACTGTAGTTTATCTTTCTTTGCATGGTACTCATTCTGGGTTTCACTTTTACTGCTGAGAGGACATTGGTAAATAGAATGAGTATTTGCCTTATGCAGTAGAGCCAGTGATTTGTCTCACATTCCTCATTGTCTGGTTCAGCCTCTTTCTGCTTGAGGTGTTTCCCAGACGCTGCACAATTTTATAATTATTTTACTTTCTTTTTGTAATTTTTCAGTTACTTATTCTTCACATAATGCACTGACCAAAGCCACTTTTTTTTTTTAGCACATGGCGTTTTTATGTGATAGAGATTTGTAAGTTATGATTCATAGATTTTTCTTTTTCTATGATCATGAGTGTGCAAGCACTCATATCAAGAAAAATGGTCATGCAAATGGAAAAAAAAAAGATGTGCATTTTCATTCATGCTACTTTGAAACTAATTTCCTGTGTGAACTTCTCATTGTGAAGGCCAAATGAAAAGACATGTTTTTCCTTTTCATTCACTCATATAAATATGTGCAGATAGCTTACAGAACTGGAAAAAAAGTATTGAGTTGTCTGTGCAATAGTTTACTCATGTGCTTACAAATTGCATCCTTTTATTTGATTGTGTGCTGTAGCTTTATCCCCGTAACATGCAGTGTTGTCCAACACAGAACAGGCTCATGGAGAGGCTCCTTTTTTCCCCATTTAGCACTTAGGCCATTGGTGATGCAAGGCAAAGCTGGCACACTGTACTTCTCTGCTTTGAGGAAGCCCCTCTATACTCACCTTGTATTATGTTAATAGACTATTTGTTGTTTGCTACTCTTTTCATCTCAGATCCTGAATTAATATCACAATCTGTGCTCTTTTCTGTCTCTCCAAAAGTATTTTTTTTCTCTAATATTGCATGGAGGGCAGTAGTTGATTTAATGAACATGGATGAATAACACTGAAATTAATACTCATGTAGTTGTTTATTTGTAAGCTTAGCATTTATCTCAAAACTACTTTTTACAATTTATAAGTTCAAATGAGAATGAAACATCAGATCTGAGAGTCCAGTGGATTTTTCTATTTGGAATGCTGACTCACTAGAGCACTTGCTCCTCCATTTTTGTCTTGTCTAAATGCAAATTCTAGTACAAATGAATAATTCTTTTAGAAAAGGAAAATCTTTGGGTTTTTTAAGTGAAGATTTTAATAATCTGGGGTGGACCATATGGAATATTGGGCTATATTTTTAAATGTAGTCTCTTATTGTTTAAGATAACTATCAAAAGGGATTTTTAAAGCTGCCTAAATTTCTATTTGTACTGAAATGAATGCATTTTTGAGTGACAGTCTTTGAAGCTTCATCCCCAAATAACTACATTTGAGGTTCTTTATTTATCCTGTGGTACTGCCTATCGTTGTTTCAACTTTTCAACATCCAGCTAAGGACATAATCATATTGTTGTATCAGTGAATATTATCTAGGGAGACCAGTTTATCTCATTTTCCTTCTTCAGGCTTTCTTGCAGGGAACTGTAAATTGTTTTATGGGGCTATCTAGAGCCCATGGAGAATGCAGGTTAGTTTGCCTCAAGGTTCCCATCCTACTGAGAAAGGAAATTGTTGTCAGACTGTTACTTAGTGATCCAAAGATGTACTAAACGGCAGAGGGGAAGACGTTTGATCCCCTGACAATATGACTGGGGATAAACGTTGCCTCTGTTAATTGCTTCATCTCCACAAAGGCAGACTAGAAGTGCTGGTTTGAGAAGTTCGAAGCTCCCCATGCTAATGACCATCTGCAGGGTGAGTACAGAGGAGTTGAGAAACCGTCGTTCTTCCAGCTCTCCAGCGCAGGAGAAAGCTCTGGAAAAGGAAAGCTGTATTTTTCCTTTGCTCCACATCTCAGCCTCTGGATCTGCTGAACAGGGTAGGTTCACAGCATAGGTGGGTCAGCAGGCTTCAGAATACAGCCTGTTGGCCACTCCTCTGCAAGGATCCAAGTCCTGGCTGGCCTGCTGTCAGGAGCTGCTGTGCTGCGTAAACCTCTCCTTCCCACCACACTGCAGTGGGCAGCACTCACACTTGAGATGTTTGGGGAGGTTGGCACTTGCGGGCAGGGGAGAGCGGTGCTTTTCCTGTGCTTAAATGCAAGTATATAACCAACCTTCCTGGAACTCAGGATGTCCTGAACTGAATTTGTATGGAAAACAAGATAAATGCTTTCTTTGATATCTGGAGGGATAACACAAGAGAAAACATGAGTGAGTGTATGAGCCTTAGCTAAGGTCTACTATTTACTAAATAGCTAATAGCTGGGAATAAGATGGTTTTATCATGAAGATGGTGTGTTGGGATCAGATTTGGATTTAGTATAGAGGTAGTGCTTTAAATGTAATGGTAATGCTCAGAAATGTATCCTTTAGAAACAGGACATTCTGTGCTACTCCTTTTCATGAACCCAGCTGCAGTATCTTCAAGTTTATGGTCTAAATCTTATTTTGCAACCTCTATCACCTGTGTCTGTTTCCCAGAGACAGCAGCGGTGTGGTATGTGTAGGTACATGCTCAAAATGACTACTGGACTGAAATCCTGTTCTCTGCCTTACAGAGTAAAGCACTGGAAATATTTCCTTCTCTGTCCTTTGGAACCCCCTCACTGTACTTATCATCAGATACAGTTAGTCTTTTGCTGAAAGTTATGAGACAAAAGTAATTCAAAAAACTTCAGTCTGTTACTTGTTAAATCAAAGGATGGTTGGCAAGATGGTGAAGAATAATGTCAGAAAGTTTCATCCTTTGCTGATTAGTCATTGCTTTGGACCAAGTAAATGATGCTTCTTCTGAGTGAATGGATGTGACCAGATTTAAAATGATTTAGAGAACTGTCTGGCCATTTAATATAGGTGATATTTTAAAGTACTGAATTTAATGATAACATGGATTATTATCTTCAAAACAAAAGAACACAGACTAGTTTTAAAGAGAGACTGAGCTACAAGTACAGCATAGATGCTGGAGCATAGACACTGGGTAGGCAAATCACACCTATTCAAAAACTGTGGAGTAGGGACTCTGGTTCTCTTCTTAGTCTGAGGCTGCCATGCCTGTGGAAATAGGACCCAGTGTACTGTCTTTTATGTGCCATTTTCCCTGGCATCCTCTGCACTCACTCCTTTGATTGTCTTACTCATTTCCAGTGCTCCTTTACACTCAGCAAAGGGACTGCAGTCCTGTGAATAGTAAATGATAAAGACAGGAATGAGAAGTTGAGCAGTGACAAGCTGTTTCTCTGGGCTTTTAGTCACTCCTCTACTAATTCAATGTACATTCTCTGCAAAACTTGAACTCTTCTTCTGCATAATGAGAAAAGGAGCATGTGTTTATTGAGCGCCTCAGGTGCTCGTGTTGTGAATGTAATGCTATTCATAACAGATCGCTGTGCTGGGGAGGGTGGCTGTGGGTTTGTGAGCTACAGTCTACACAGACATGACTAAATCCGCCTCATCTTTCTCCTCTGAGAATCTCCGTGGTGCTTCGGTTGCTATTCATGCACATGAAGGATCTGGTGAAGAGGAGAGTTGCTTCACAGACCAAAAGCCTAGGGAGGATTTTCACCTTCAAAGAGAGATTAGTGACGGTCCACATGTCATTGGGAATCATATAGTCTTTTGGGGGCTTATGAAGTTTGTCAGGATATTTTTGAAGTAATTTTAGGGACAACCAGTTTTTTCCAGTAAGGGTACTTAGTGGATTTTTTTAAATCTGTTTAAAGAAAGCACTTCAATTTTGGGAAAAAGAAAGGGTGGGAGGCCCAAGTGCCAGGGAGATAAACTGCAGTCACCACATGAAGACAGTGGGGCTTTGCACTTAACAGTGACCAGCAGCCAACCCCAAAATGTCTTAGTGCCCACCTGCAGTTTGGGATGTGAAGTTTGAAGATGCCTCTATTTATTTCACAAAAGCAGCTGTGATATTTATTTAACTTCAAGGCTTGGCCTGACCAGAAGAAAGAGTTATGGTGTGTGCTACTTTCACAGATGCAAATATTGACCTCAAAGTGTGCCATGCTTTTAGGAGAATGATGAAACCTCCTTTTACTTTGAAAACAACTAGCATTGCATGAATTATGCTGACATTCACAATTTATGCCATGAATATTATGTAGAGACTTCTAAGGAATTAATTTGTATGTGTGTTACAAAGTATGAAGAGTTTTAAATTCATCCTGGATATAATTTCACCCTAAAATGTATGGCAGGTCTACTCATCATACTGTGTTACACAATTGTGCAGGATGTGTTTTGAAAGTAACCTTCAGATGATTCCTTGTTTACAAAGCTAGGATGTAGCTTTAAGCATTGATGCTACAAAGTCTAAATAAAATTTTTCTGCCTTCATGCTGCCATTGTTGATGATCAGTCTGGCAGAGCTTTACTATGAGGAAAAGTGCTTCCTACAATAGCTCAGCAACGCATTAATATTCTGATGTTACTTTTAGCCTGAAAATTAGGAGTTGATATGTTACTGGGAGGATATAAAAAAGTATGGAAATGTATCCCAACTAACTTAATACTTTCAGATTTTTACTGTAGCTTTGCAAATTCTGCTTTATTTGACTTTCCTCACTGCATGAATCGTCTGAAATACCAAACAACTCAGCTATGTCTGCTTTCTCTTTTATGCCTTCACAGAATTCTCAATTCTTTCTCTCTTGTCTCTCTTTCTCTTTGTTTCTCTCTTCTCTCTCTGTTTTTCTCTTTGGTGGGGTACCCTGAATCTCTGAAGCAGTGCAGGAGGCCGAACAGGAAGATGTAAAGGTGGTAGTGGACGCCCAAGCTCCGAAACCAACTAAAAAAACCAAGGGATCAGCTGCGAGCTGTCAGACTAGCAGCACCAGAAAGGAGAAAAAAGGGAAACACAAAGGTTAGCTGCATGCAGCTGAATGTCAGATGTTAAATTAATTCTTTTTTGCAGTCAATTCTCTCTCTTTTTTTTCTTTTAATTTCTTTGAAAATCTGAAAATTGTCCAAAATTAATTTCCTGAAATTTTTATGAGATGGGAAAATGCGTGACTTGGCCTTTTCTGGGCATGTACAACCTGGGAGTGAAAGACTAAAATTTGTAAATGCAGTTTTTTCCAAAGGAGAGTGTTTGCTCAAATTGCAGAGGATGAAGAAAGTATTGATGGAAGGATACAGGTGTTTTCCTGCATTGTTAAAGAAATGAGAACCATCTTACTATAGTATGGTTTTTTAGATTATCTGCAAGTAATGTAATTCGGAGAAACAGCCTTAAATTGCAGTCACTTCTGTCCAGACTCTTACAAATTAAAGTGGACATTTTGAAAATCAATTCAGCAAAACTGAGATAACAGCCTCAAAGAGGTTTTTCAAGTTGTTCTGTGAGTGTTACTCTATCCCTCCTGCTTGACACAGGAGAGGTGTTTATATGAAAAGTTTTCTGCAGTGATTTTGTGTATGATTAGGTAAAATAAAAAATACACTATTGGCAGTGACAAAAGGCTACTGGCAGTGACAAAAGGCTACTGGCATTCATATTTTTATGTATATATATATGCACACTCACAAAGAGAGAGGTTGTTATGCCACGTATGATTACTTTTTCTTTGGTGGTGACTGACTAATGAAATGAAATAACTTTCCAATAATTTGCTGTTCTTGAATAAAGCCACTCTAACACTATCCTGCACTGTATTCCTGTGTTGTGCATGTCCAACAGTGTCTCCATTGTTGCTTGGTGTATATCTTGGCCAATCTGTTTAAAGATAGCAATGACTAATGAGGTTAATTATTGAGGTCAGGGTATTGGGGCTTATCTATAGGGATTTTCCAAGGCTTGAGCCTACCTTAGTAAAATCCTTTACGTATTGCAGCTTAATTCTTGAGATCTGAATCTACAGTGTCTCTCTCTCTGTAGCCCCTCTGGCTGCAAGGGAAGCCCTAGGTTAGACAGGCTTTAGAGTCTGGCCCTGAGCTAAAGACTTTATTCATATATTTGAAAAAAGGTGGTATGTGCCAGTACCTAGGCTTAAAATAATAAGGAAAAGGCAAAGGTAAAATTAGCTGAATATAAAAATTGTTGGCAAAATAAAGGAACGGAAAGCTAATGTCTCCCAATTTAATGTAGAAGGTAATGACATTCCAGCATAGTAATACAAGTGCCAAATTTTATTTTGAAGTACATCTTGCTCAAGAGTAAAAATTCTTTTACTAGTTTAACAGAAAACCTGTTTTAGGCTGAAAAGGAGCATTATGCAAGCTAATACTTAAATCATGGTTATGGCATAGCCTTGAGGTTCTGTTTCATCTCATATAATGTCTATTTTGCCCTTAAGGAGTGTCTGTGTCTGTGCTGTGTTCAGAACTGAAGGTACTGTGCTGGTAGTTACAGTAGGTTTGATGTGACAGATCTGCACTGTGTAGGACCACTGTCTGTCTACAGCCATGTGTGTTCTGGGCAGTTTTCTTACGAGCTCTTGGCTAAAATATTCCAAGGCCTGGTGAAACACACAGCAGGGAACACGCACTGGAGTGTGTGACTCGCAGGGCTGTTCTGCAGAGCCCGGTGATGTGTGTCTGGGGCTGTATTTGTTGGGCAGCTCTGCCAAATGTAGGCGAGTTAGCCCATGAGCAGAGTGTGTTTACTGTGAAGGAGCTGCACAGTTTTCTATTATCTCACACCAGGTAACACTTCGTATTTTTCTCATGTGCCAGTAATATTTTTATTCATTTTCTGAAAGGTTCCACAACCAGGCAAATGTTGGCATATATTAATAAAAGCAAGTTGTGTCAGTAAAAGTCATGTCACTTTATGTAGACTGAGAACTTTTGCTTGCTGATACTGCTCTATGTGTTGGAAACTAAAATTTTTAGCTCTAGAAATCTCAGCTTCTGCTGCAATCCTTATTGCTCATCCCATTATGCTATGTGTGCTCTTCCCTGGCCTCCAGCATTTGCCCATCAGTTGCATCTTGTGCATGCTTCCTGAGAGTGGAGGCATTATTCATCCATTATACTAAAGGAAGTGTTGAGTGTCTCCTCTCCTGAACTTTATGTTGATGATTAGTAACACATGAAAACCAGTTAAATTATATTCAGAGTGTGCACATACCATCACCTCATCCAGCTCATCTACTTTTTCTGTACGCTGGTATTTTACTGTTCATTCACGTATAATGTCACCCTTGGAATAATATCTGGTTTACCTTTGACAGTGTTGTAAACTTGGAGTGTTTGCAGGGGATTATAACTGGATTTCCAGTCTTCCATTCTTACCAGAGCTCCAAAATATTATTTTTCTGGATGAAAAAGTAAAACCAAATGCGTCTTAAACATTCCAGATGGATTTTACTGATAAGTCCACTGCAGACATAGCTAATTTTGTACTTCAGGATTGAAGAAAATATAAGTGGTAACAGAACTCTGTATTGGAACTTGTATCAATTTTTGAGTTACTTTTAAATGTGACTTTTAAGGGTAGGCTTTATAATAGTATTGAATGGATTTGCTAATAACTTCAGCTCTAACTAATAAATATGGATGAAGGGTAAGTGGTTTTATGCCATTTTTTGGCAGAAGAGATTTTGTTGGAGGGAGTTCTTTGGTAATTAGACCAAATCTTGGGAAATGTTTTGCTTATAGCTTTGCAATTGTTTCAGATTTGTCTCCACTCTGACTGTGACCTTTGCACGTCCTGTAAACAAGGAGGACAAATACTGAGGGGTGAATTCACTTTACATGCTAATATAGTGTTTTAAAGGTTTCTGTTGTTATTTAACTGTAATGAATATTACCCTTGTAAGCACAGCCAAATTCTTTGTGTTTTAAGAGAAAAGAACATTTAGACCAGATCCTATGAAAAAGAAGCTAATTCAGAGAAAAAGTTGTTGAATTATACATGAATAGATGTTGAAACTCTAGAGTAATGACTGTACTCTGATCTTAGATGTGTAATGCTTTTTAAGTGGCTTGAAGAATGATGAAACTACGATCAGAACAATGTGCTAAAGACAAATGTGAGAAATATCGGGTTTAGTGAGATTACACTGACATAAGGCAAGAAAAGAAATGTGACTAACTGCTCATGGCAGTGCATTTTGTAATTCTGGGATGGGTAGCATGGTATTCAGCAATTTTTTCTAAATCTAATTATTACTGGTATTTCTTAATGGCAGTATGCAGTATACACTGTGCCTATTTTTAAAAAGAAGCATAATTTTTGTTGGGCAGAGCCTGCAAATGCGGTAAATTGATGACATTTTGTAGTAACATAGCACATTAAATTGATATTTCTGAAAGCTTCACTCTCCCATTTATGGTTTGACATAATATTCAGTATTGGGAAGAACCCCCAGGTGTAACAAATGGATATGGAAAATGGTTGTCTTTTCAATGCAGACAGTGGATCAAATTCTGGTTTGATTTGTGACACTAATATGTTTAGTGCATTTTTTCTGCCAATATAGATTTGTGAAGAAGTTAATAAATATATAGGATAAAGTGTGTTTTTTTGGCTATGAATAGGGTAAATCAGGAAGATAAAATGGAACCTTTAAAGAAAATCAGAAAACCTTGCAAAGTCAGGAGTTAATACAAAGTGAAATCTGGTATGAAAATTCATGAATCATTCTGTGAAAAGTTGTTGTTGGTTGTTTGATTTTGTTTTGTTTTTTAAATAGCACTCTGGCACTCAGAGCCTGTAAGTACATTCTAGGAAAATCCTGCTCTGAACTGCCATGGAAAATATAAATGTAGATTTTTCTTCCTTTTTTTCGTCACTGAAATCAGAAATCTGGATGTGTTTAAAATGTTGAAATAAACAATACCTTCCCAGAAATTTCTCTTTTATGTTGTACATTAAATGTATATAGTACATTGGGTATTTCCTGCAGACTTTATGAGAGTCAGGAAGCAGATGAGCTGCTCTTACACACAGCTCTTTTCCTGCCAGGATGGCTATTTCACGTTTTGATTTGGTTTGTTTCTTCCCTGTTTCTTCTCTCTCTTTCACGCCTGTCTGACTGTTTTGATTTGTGCATCCTGTCCCATTTTTATATGTAACAAGCAGCTACATTAACACTGGCTGGCTAAGAAAGCAGCAGCTTTTGTTGAATAAGAAGCATCATTTCTCACTGTAACACTTCCTTTCTGATGAGGGTAGGGAAGTTCACGTAGAGCAGATTTATCTCGGCTTCCCTGTAAAGAGAAAGGGTAGGAGGAACAACGAATGAGTTTCCACCAACAAAAGTCCAGTTATTTCTAGATCTGACAAACCTTTCAGGTTGTGCTTTGGCAACACATGAACTTGATTGTGAAGAAGTAATTTTGACCTCCTCAGGATAAAGATTTATGAGTGTACAGTTCCTGCTATTGTTCTCTAGATTTGATCAAAATGAATGTAGAGCTTGGTGCTGAAGCACTTCCTTTTAGTGACCTGATCTGATGTTAGCAATAGTCCTTCTTTTGATGGAAGCTCTCTAGAGGTCCTTTTGGAAAAAAATTCTATATGCTCCCTTTCCTTCTAAACAAATCCCTTTGTGATTTTGCAGTTCCTTGAACCCAATCAATGGATGCACAGCCCCTATGAAAAGAGGAATATACTGAGAAATGGCTTAGAAAATATTGACAGCAGGGTTTGCTTTAAGCCAAGTTCTTTAAAGGACAGAAACTATTTGTTCTGGTGTTAGATCTCTCTGAGGTTCCGTGATCTTGACCTCAGAGCAGGCCAGCCATCCTTTGAAGGTTTGTGCTGCCATCCCTCAGTTGGAGGAAGAGCTGCTCTGCAGTGTTCTTGAGGAGCACTTGCAGGGTTATTGCTGGCCACAACCTTGGGTGTTGTCCACGTGGATATGACTTCTTTGTCAGACCAGTAACTGAGCTCAGAAAGTGTGGGTTTCTCTTCCA